TGTGCAGAGATTATATAGTATGTAGTAGGTGATCAATAAGTACTTGTTGAATACATTTATTCTCATTAGTCATCCAACACAATTATGTTTGCCTAACATTCCTATAAAACATTTATTATTGACAGCAATTTACTACATGTTTTGTTGAATTGTACTTGGCATATCTTAAGGAAAACTATTGCACATTTATGCACAGAGGTAATGAAAAGCAACAATAGATTTTGAAAAATATAAATAAAAGCTCCAATTACCTTTACTTTTCAGCCTTATAATAATTATTTTGTTATAATGTCATAATTGTTATGTATAATAAACATAAATTACCTTTTATTCCAATGGACTGTGAGCCCTTGAGTACAGAGGCCCCCTCCCTTTTTCTACATCTTTGAATTTCAAGATCGAATAGAGTGCCTAATACACAGCAGGTGCTCAAATAATGTTTGTGAATAAATAAATAAATTTATTTTATTACAGACTGCTATTACTTATCAGACTTTGTTAATAAATATGATGCACAAATATAAAGTAGAAAGTTACATTAATAAATTGTTTAGTTATTTTGCCATAGTTTGCTATGTCTATAAATGTGCTACCTCACTCCAAATACGTATTTTAAGATTACATGTTAAAACTTTACCTGATATAAATATTTTAAAGGTCTCAAAAACCAAATTTCTATATCATTTCAGAATACAAATTTGTAGCCTATACAATTGCCTTAATAACCTAAGGAAAGATACATAATAAGCCCAACTAACTGTTTATTTTCTCCATGTTATGTCAATGGTCAATATAATAAGGATCAGTTTGTGTTCACTGAATTTAATACTGTTTTAATATTACAAAAATGAAATCTAAATACCTTATATACATGCAACTCTTCGTGTGTCTTTGTTAGTTTTTAATCTTGTAATTTTTTAAAATCTTTCTTGACTAATTTTATTATTAACCATTATAATTTTCTTTATTTTAGGCACCTGTCCCACATTTCTGAGCAAGGGAATTCCTATTTCTTTAATTCTAGTAGATATATTAAGCTACTTGTTGCCTAAGATAAAAGGAATCTGTCCAGAAACTTTTACTTCAGTGACTTGCACTGTTTTAAAGAAAGGATTAAGCCTTTTGAAATCCCTTCTGGAACTATTTACAACATGAAGACTTAGAACATAAGCTGCTTTATTATAACTCTAAGATAAGCTTTAAATATGCAGTAATTTTCCATGCAGCATGTAAATCAACTCCCCCACATGGAAAGTTGTTAAATTCATAACAGAAGTAGGCCCTAGAGAAATAGTTCTTCTTCAATTTAAGTATAGCTCACTTTATATAATTGTTTTCCTAAAATTTAAATTCAAATGTATTTTTAAAATAATATTCTTTCCTATAAAATTTGAATAAGCCCCTTTTATGTGGAAGGCATCATCACAGCCACTAGGATTAAAAACAAAACAAACAACAACAACGAAAAAAAAAACACCCTACCATAGATCAGGAAAGGCAGAAACTTAAATAAATTAAGCCACCAAAGTATAATGCAAATTTTGATAGAGGAAGTACAGTTATTTCCAGAAACATATCAGAAGGGGACCTAATCCAGCTTGAGGTATATTTAGGCTATTTAGGAGGCATATTTAGGCTAACTCTGTAAGGTCTCAAAATGTTTTCATGCTGAACAAACAGGGTAGGAAGTTCCAAGTAGAATAAACAGAATATATAAAGAACTTTCAAATAATTGGAAGTTCAGGGTAACTGAAATATGAGATATAAAATGTGACAAAAGTGCAACACATAAAGTTTAGAACAGCATCTAGCACATAATTGGTAACCAGTAAATATTTGTTGAATAAATGACTCTGACAGAGAGAGATTATGATAGGTCAAAGAGTTTGCATTTCATCCTAAAGGAAATATGGGATACCTGTAGATAAATCCTGTTGGACAGCTACTCTAGTTTCAGTGTAAAGAATGATGTAAAGTGGTGTAAGAGGAATAGTAGGAAGGCTTTAGGTGTTTCCGGTCATTGTTCAGGGAAGAGATGAGGGATGTTGATATTAGGATCAGAGAAAAAGTAACAGATTCAAGAGTGATTTGATGGGTGGGATCAACAGATCTTGGCAATTTATTGAGTGGGTAGAGGAGGATTTATAAATGACATTTTGATTTCTGGCTATATGAAATGTGCTATTTACTGAGGCAAGGAACACTGAAGACAAAGCACATCTGAGAGGGAAGATGACAAGTTCAAATTTGGAGATGTTGAGTTTAAGGTGACAAATAGACATCCAAAGATAACCAAATGAAGTTCTCTCTTAGGCAGCTGGACATACAGGTCTGTAACTCAAGTGATGAGCCTGGCCTGGAGAGATACATTTGATAGTTATCAACACATAAATGATAATTAAAGGTAGAGTAGTAGATGAGTTTGTATAGAATTTTAGATCAAATGAAGAGAATCATAATGTAAAACAACATAATGGAAGAGAGCTTAGGACTAGGTTCTAAGAATATCAACAATTAACAGATGGATACAAATACCAAAGAAACTTTTAAAGAGATTTCAAAGGAGCAGAAGAAAAACTAAGAATGTGGATGGATGTCAGGAACATTAGAAAAAAATGTATGTTTCAAGTAGGAAAAAATAGACATCATTATCAAACGCTGTTTTCATGTCAAATACAATAAGAATTTTAAATGTTGTACTAGATTTAATGTCACATAAGTCATTATTGATCCAAGGGAACAGTTTTGGTGGAGAGATAGGTAGGAAGAGAAGCAACACTCCTGTGGACTGAAATGTGATTGGCTGCTAAAGACATTGAAAAATTCCATAAACTTCCCAGAATTCATCTGGAAATGGGAAGAGATATGATAGGCACTCATGATTTAGGAAAGCATTTTTAAGCTGGTAAAGAGGTGAACATATTGGATGCTATTGAAAAGAGTTACAACATGAATGCGTAGACCTTATGTAAAGCAAAAAAAAGGATGAGACATAAATACAGAGCATTTCTTCAGTGGCAAACTGAGGGATTGGAGCGGTGGCAGAGAAAATTATTTTATCATTGTTTAAAATTGTTGAAACATAGTAAAAATGAAAAGCAGAAAAACTTTTAGTGCATTTTCCTACTGTTTTAAAATTCTTACAGAAGTGTACCCTTTTGTTGCATCCACCTAGGGCAAGTTCCTACCTCCCTCCATACCCACTACTTTGTATTTCACCATTTTGATTCCTTTTTAAATACAGATCTAGATTTTCATACTCCTTACTGGGTTTGTTTTGCTTGAAGTCAGATATGAATGTAAATATTATCCAAGCCCCATCCTCAACTTCAGTAAATCAAGTAAAGGGAGAAGTGTATATGACTGCAGAAGTAAATTTCTTAAGGTCAATTTAAAAATTATTTGATAATGACAGCTACTGTTCTTAAATTCCGGGATTCTGACTACACGAGTACCAACTTACTCATTATAAAATAAGACAGTGTCACTGAATATGAGCAGCTTTTCTCCAATTAGTAAATACAATAGATGACAATGATATTGATGCAAAATAGCAATACTTCTAAATATACCTTTGGGAGCGTGGTCTGGGCCATTCAGAGCTCCCTGAATGGCTGCCTGTGCAGCAGAATTCTGGGCCTTCAGCATTTCGATGGTTTCTCTTAGTTCTATAAGTTCAGACTCCTGTGAAACAAACAGAATTTGGAAGCTTTAATAAAACTTTAGCATCTAGAAAGAAAAAAGTAAAATGTTCCTGTTGTTCAAAATTCACTATCAAATGGGTTTGATTTTATGCCATGCTAACATCTGGGGACATCTGGGCACTTGGCCGACCTTGTCAAGTTGTACCTAACCATTTCTTACTTTGCTAAATGTAAGGGAGAATTTAAAAAAAAAATCTTGATTATTCTCTTATCAATATGATTTGAAAAGCCGATATTTTTTTCAAAGGGTGGCACCCAGGGCTGACCAGTACAATGTAAAGTGAGATATCACATTGCTCATTTTATACCAAACTTGTGAATACTACTTATGATTCCATCACATAGTTCGATATCAGTATTGCATGGGTACATCATACTGCATTTAGTGTCAACTGGAAACCCTGAGGTTCTTTCAAATAAGTGATTTCAGATTTTATCTCATTTATTTTGCACTTGGGAAATGGATTTTTTTATATCAAGTATAAAACCTCATGGAACTCATCTGTAATGTATGTCTATTAAATGTAATCTTATTAAATTCTGCTGGCATACCAAGGTCATTTTAGATTATGATATTTTTCATCCAATAAAATTCCTAGTATGGAGACCCAATTCCACCAAGGCAAAGCAATACAGGAATTTTTTAAAAAATAAATGGAAATATATGTAACATACAGTCCTTAAATAATATTAAATTACAAAAAAATGCTTACAAATCAAATTTTTATAAAATGCCTATTTTATTATTGAATTTAGGGTACTTTTAAGATATGTCCCAGGGCCGGCTGAGTGGCTCAGTTGGTTAAAAGTTGGCTTAAGAGCACGAGCTCTGAGCAACAGGGCCGCCGGTTTGATTCCCACATGGGCCAGTGACGCTGCGCCCAAGCTGAGCTGTTGCTGAGCTGCCAATAGGTGGCAGGATGGCTCAGCTGGTGTAACAACAAGATTGCCTGTTCGATGGTGGGCTATGCCCACCCACAACTAAGACTGAACTCGGCACCTTGAACTGAGCTGCTGCCTAGATGGCTCAGTGCATAGAGTATGTGCTCTTAATAACAAGGCTGATGGTTCGACTCCTGCATAGGAAGGTGGCTATGCCCACCTGCAACTAAGACTGAACACAGCACCTTGAGCTAAGAGGCCATGAGCTGCCGTTGGGAAACCAAATGGCAACTGGCGCCCTCCACAACGAAGATTGAAGAACAACAACTTGGCTGGTCCCCTTCCCCAATTCCCCAATAAAATCTTTAAAAAAAAGATATGTTCCAATGAAAACGTCATATAAATTTGATCTTTCACAGTTATTTAAGTAAATTATTTTACCAGAAATGACTCACTATGAGGGAGATATGATAAAGTAAACAAGAGTGATTTTTCAGCATAGGCAATATTTCCATCAGGAACTCAAAAACAAGGAGTATCCTTCTTGGCAGTGGTGGCAATACTAAAAATTAGAATCCCTGTCAGCCTTTTAGAGGCAGAATTCCTTGGTAATGTATTTGTCATTCATCATTTTCTCTAGCATCTTTGGCAGAAAGCCAAAGCATCAGGCTTAGGTTCTTCATTCCATGATAAATAGTCTATCCCTACTCGATGTCTCCAAGAACATACAAAAATACTGCAGGATTATGACAACTGCCTTTGCAGGAAATGGCTTCATACTGGGGAATGTCCAGTGACTACTCTAACCTTATACATTTTTTAAGAAAAGATAGACAATGCTAATTGAAATGATATCCAAGAATAGATACCTGGCATATTCTACATCTATTTTCATTAGATAGATGATATATTCCTAACAGATGACAGATTTTTTTAAACAAACCCTTTTTATAGACTTCTAGTAGTTTGTAAGTCAAAAATTACCATAATGAAAAGTCAATACAACCTCTTGGATTTGTAGATGAATCTTCAAATACTTGACTGTAATTTTATTTGCATGTATTTATCACAAAGAAAAAGGTCATGTTTGTGGAAAGTTTCCAATGTCATAACAGAAAATCCAGATCCAATTCATCATAATTTCTCAGTCTCTCCAAGTTAATCTATATTCTTTCCAAGTTTATCTATATCCTATCTCAGTCTCTCCAAGTTTATCTATATTGCCCAACAGGTAATAGATATGTTTACCATAATATAATTTACTACCCATTTAAAATAAATATCCCAAGATAAAATATTTACTGAAAAATCATTCCATTTTTATCAGAAATTTATTTGCAAAAGAATATCACTGGGCATGCTTAATGAATCATAATTCTAATAGTAATTTATAACATATAGACTGAGATGCATATTAAATTTTAATAAAAATCAGATTTTCATCCTTGAATATAAAATCAATGATGCTTGTACTGTGAATTAAAAATCTGCTAAGATATTGGCTTTAAGTCTAAAGAGAAAAAATGGAAATAAGATCTCATGCAACTGTCCAAAAAATTTCACTTAATTTTATAAGTTAGCTGACTCATGTCAAAATTGAATCTTTTCAAGAGAAATTGCTCCTAGAAACTTCTTAAAAAGATTAGAAGTGGAATGTTCAGGAAATGTTGCTTTTTCAGAAAACTGTGCTTAATATGAGATAGAAAAATGATCACTACCTAATATGAAGTATCTCTTTAAAAACATGTATTAGGAGGTCAGTTGTTACACAGTGTGAGACAATAAACCCAAAGGAAGAATAAATAGGTAAGAAATATATTCATTATATAATGGGAAAATCATCTATGAAAATATTAGTTTAACCAAATTCATATTAGTAGATTTTTTAAGAGAGCTTTATAAATATAAGCAAGCACCTATAAAATATTCAATTGTCTTTAATTAAAAATATAGTTAAATTCTACATTAAAAATCTTTTTAAGCCTGAACGAGTTATCTCTTCATATATGCAAAAATTCCTTCCTTCTTTCTTATTTCGGTTGAAACCCACCTTCACCATTACTCAAATTAGAACCATCTCTTTCTCTGAGTCTTTCCATATGATTTTTCCTTCTGCTTTAAACATCCTTTCTCATTCTTAAAGCCCAAGTGGTATTTTAAAACCTGAGAACCAGAAGTAAAATTTAATTTATCTACAATGAGCCATTCAAGATAATGATGCCCCAAACACCTGCTGACTATCTAAGATTCCAGTTTTCTATTAGGGTTTCTTGTGTAAAAGAAGTTAGATGGAGTCAGTATTTTTTCTTAACTGTTCTGTACATATCTCTGAGGCTAAACAAGTTGTCAAGGTCAGACTCAGATTGCTTTAAAATAAAATGATCAAATATTGCGTTATAATATTAGCCTTGCTCGGTATTGTTGACAACCTAGTTTTCTAACTATATCTGACCAGTTTCCAAATTTCTTCTGGATACAGAAGAATCCCACAAGCTTGGCAACACATCTTCTCAACTAACTTTACCTTTTTAACTAGGCTCTTAAAAATTTCTACTGAACTTGTCTTTTGCTTCCTCACACTCATACTCAGTTAATATCACACTATCTAGTGGTAGTTCCTTTGAACATATCACACTCCCATACCCCTTTGCATGTGCCTTCTTATCTTATGAAATTTTGTACTGAAAGAACCTGGCTAGCCCTGGTTCTAACTAAATAAACTGAATTCACCAAATCCCAGTGTAACTTGAATCCATAAGTAACTTATAATTTCAAATTAACCTATGCCCTAAAAGGCCAATGAATGTATTTTCTGACTCTAGTGATACATTTTTAAAAACATTTCTGGATAAAAACAATTTTAACCTGAACTGGGAGGAGTTAATGTAAAGATCCAAATTCAACTACTCAGTTTTTAGCTTCTACACTATATATTTCCAGAGAACTGGCTTTGAATTTTTTCATTTTTATCTAGTCACCAAAAATGTGGTTTTATAGACGTAAGAATGAGCAAACCTTAGACTTTATAGTTAGCATAAGGATCACTGTCTGAGCTCCATCCTTCATACAAAAAGATATTCCTCTGTCATGCTCAGACTAAGCTAGCCTACCTTAATATATGTTCTAATTCTCTCTGGCACAACAGCTATAAGGGAACTGATTTGAAAGTCTTCTAATTATCAATAAGGATCACCTTAGTAAATTTTCAAGGATTTAGCAGTTCTGTAAAAATGTAGATTTGTATATCATAAAAATACAGATTTGCAGAATTCTTGCTATTTCATTGACTTGTATTGCAGCCTCTCACATCTGCCATTCTATAAGAAAAATAAAGCTCTAAACAATAATTTGAGTGAGGTTTTTTTTCAATTTTGACAAGGATGGTACATAGCTAGTACTACTCTAGATACAGAGAAAAGAAGTTATTTGATCACATATAATAGATGCCACAGGACATTCGGTCTTAATTCTCTCAAAGAATCTTGGTAGAAAAGTGCTGGTAAAGGGACAAGAACCTGAAATCCAGGTAAAATTCTTGATCCAACCATGTCACTGTCACAATCTGTAGAGTCTTACTTGAGGTATAGGGCAAGTCCTAGAGATAATTTCACCCTCCAGATAGCATTACTGACAATTATCCTATAGACTTACTGTTACATAACATGTGGTCTTCTAGTGGCTATTGAGAATGCTGTTAAACAATCGGGAAACACTGGTTGGTCAATCTTCATTAACTAACTATGATCGTGTTAGCCCAGTGTCCAAAACCTTTGAGGGACAGCTTGTTTTCAAAGACCAGATGCTTTAGACATCTTCCTAGCCTTAGCTCCACAATTTCCCTCCATAGTCCTTCATTTCCCCTTAAGGTCTCTCATATTTTCTTCCCTCCTTGCTGTTCATGCTCGTGGTGCTTCGTCCTCTGTGGCACGCCGCCCTCCATCTCCCATGAGTTAATTTTCTTCCTCCTCCCTGAGCCTGAGGAGGCTCCACTGTGCCACCTCTGCTCTGAAATCTGTGAAGATGAAGGGGTCCCCCCTCCCTGTAAGAAACGCTCAGGACATTGTGCTGTTGTGTTTCTAATTGTACCCAAAATGTTCTGCTTCCTGAGTTATTCGTACATGTATTTTTCTTTCTTACCAAGCTATAGGAGTATAAATGCAATGTTCCGGAACATAAATTTGGCAAGAGAATCAGTGTGATTTGGCTCCTGGAACCAAAGAAAAATTTTAGGACATTATTCAAGAGAATGATTTGGGTTTACAAATGAAACTAAAGTTTTGATATAGTTTTCATACTATTCATGCAATATGACTGTTGAAAATCACACATTGAAGCCAGAAGAAGCCAGCAAACTTGGATTTGAGTCCTAGTTTAGTTCCTCTATTAAGTATGTAACCAAGAAGGCGTAACCTCATTGGCCTTTGTTTCTTTATGTGTTAGCATCCCACATTGCTCATTTTCATCTTTAAATTTTTCAGTGGTGCTTATCTTTAACTGAAATCCTATATGTTTTAACTACATTTTTATCCTAATCTGTCACCTACTAGAATATCAGCTCCATTTAATTATAACTAGTTATAAACTAGGATATAAACAATGTGTGTGTGTGTGTGAGTTGTGTGTCCTTAGTGTTTATATACAAGTATACTGATTTCTCAGTAGCTAGAATTGTATCTCAGAGTAGAAATTCAATTAAACTTTGGTGAATGACTGAATGGACAAATGAACCTTGGAATTCCAGGAACAGTTTTAAAACCTCTGCTCTATATTCTCTAATCTTTTCCCCAGAATTGTTGGATCACCAGAGAGCAATATACCCTTTTATCTCAGCTCCCTGAAGAAAAGGCTTTACTGAAATATGATTAAATGTTATGCCCTCAGCTTTTAGAGAAATGTCTATTTGAACAGTGATTTTTGTCTTTTGTTATTCCATGACCTCAATTTAAGAAACTTTACAATAAATTGGTTCTTGAAGTCAGTGCCAAAAAGTTTGTCTCTTCAATCTAAATTACACTCTTTTGGTCAGAAAATGAGAACTAAACATGCCAAGCAGACCCCTTTGTGCCTCAGCAAGCCTGACGTTTATTTCAGTTCAGTGCTTTGCACAGGCTCAGGCATCTTGTTATATATGTTCCTCTACTGGGTTTCATTAGACTGTCATTAAACTGTGCTACAGCATATAGCATATTACTTTCATAAGAACCTCAAAACCACTAAGAGATAGGCAGTTATAAATCTCAGATTAATAAAATATTGTGTGTGTGCAGCTTGCAATTAGAACAATCTGTTAAAAAATGGCAACAGCTATGATATTCTTTCCTTTATAGATTTATTATTGTGACTGGAATATTTTTACTCATGGTCTTAGTTGTTTGTTTCAAGGAACATCATAGTTCTCATTTGGCATTCTACTGGCAAGAATGTATTACAATGTACTGAGTGATATTGAGAACAGACTGGAATGATTTCAACTTTTATAAAGGATAAAAGGACAATCACTTGCATCTTATAAAACATAATGTATGGTTCCTTAGAGATTGGGAACACTTTTTAGCCCAATATATGAAAGTTTGAGTATTCAATAATGAGCAAATAATTTCTACCTTTCTCAATCAAATGTTTAAAAATCTTAGAAAAGAAATTTGTTTAATATTTGTAATTTATTCCTAGCTCTTTAAAATTGAATTGTCTGTTTTATCTGTGTATCTAATTTCCATTTCTAAAAAATTAATAATTGCAAAATAACAAAATATGTGGAAACTATGTAATTAAAGGTATCACATAAATGCAAAGTGATATGAGCCATAATAAAATATTGTTACATATTATTAAAAAAATGGCAAGGGCAATTTCATACATTATGATATCTTCTGAGAACACTTAATAAATTTTAGCAATGTTACTTTAAGAATAATGTGCACATAATTATGAAATTCTTTGTATTATGGAGATGTATTTAAAAATATTCAAGTATTCATAGGCACTATAATAAACAAGCATATTTTTTTTCCAATTTCCATGAGATTTTTACTCATAAATAAATAAGAATTGAAGAAAATATGGGAGGTGGCAAAATATATTAATTTTGACTTCTTAATGACATCAATACTTAAATACTAACCATGCTTTCCAGCAATATGTGGCATATGGCCAGTGATGAATTTGTTTATCTTACATTCTTTAAAGGGAAAACAGTAGAAAAATGTAAAGGAAGGTAACATTTGTTGTTTATCCACTGCACATGACATTATTATAGTATCTCACTTATTCCTTATTATGATTCTACAAGGTGGTTGTTATAATCCCCACTTTTAAAATGATGCTTTCGAGGGTCAGAAAAGGAAGATTCCATGGCTCTTAAGAGACCCCGCTGAGATTTACACTCATGCCTACTGAGCTCCACCGTTTATATTCTGTCCCATTCAGCTGCCCTAAAAGGCCTTGTAATCCTATTTGCTGAGTTATGTTACATAGTGAAGCAGTAAACTGATCTCCCCACAAAAAAAAAGAAAAAAATAATTAAGATAAAATTTCTGTGCTCAAAAGTTGTTATCTTCCCTTATAGAACAGGTTTGACATGGATGGATAGTGTTCTCTTTCATGGGCAGGAGAAATCTACGAAATAGGAGAATGGAAGATAACGGCAAATACAGTTTGCTCATTATACCAGGCAATTATAGGACTATTCTATTTTCTCTTTTGGTTTAACTGANAAAAAAAAAAAAAAAATTAGATGCAGAGGTGAATGCCTAAAGTCAGGTTTATAATTTTAAAGAGAGCTCCCATGTGGTTTTAAACTGAATGGGGAGGGCTGCTGGCTGTGTCTCATACCACTTTGAATGGCAATGAACTTAGCATTTCAGTAAATCTTAATCAAGCTGTTTTAATTCGCCTATAAAGGGAAATGGAGGGCTTAAAGATCAGAACTATTCATCACAGAGTGGGTAAACTTCATCATTTTAGTCTGAATTTTTGGCTGTCCTCTACAATATTCATATGATTGTGTTTGTGAAGAAACGACAGATTCCTTTAAAAGCTTAGCGTTGGAAAATCTCATTCATTCCTTCCTTTATCACAGACATTTGTCCTGAGCATTCATGGTGCTTCCACTGACAGTTCTACTTGACACCATGACCATGGTTGTATCCTATGTAGTAGAGATAAAATTAGCAAGTCATTGCAAAACCTGTGGTATTTACAGGGTCATTGTTAATTAAAGTATTTGCTAGCTTAAAAAGAGGAACTATCCATCTGCCTTCTTTTTCCTTCTATTTTGTGCCAGTGATTATATGCAGCTATCTGCATGAAACTCTGTTGCTTAATCAGGCATGACCAGAGGTTTTGGGACATTTTGTTCACTCTTTCTGTATGGTATTGGTTATGATTAGAGAGAATGTTTGATGGGTTAAGTTAATTTCATTTACATTCTGGTCAAATGTTAAAAAAAAAAAGGTAAACTGACAAAACCAGGTAACACATGCTTGTTCTTTAAAGCTAATGGCACACTTTATAGAACTGAAGACAAAATTGAATCCATCCCTATAAATAGATGTAGGTACTGATTCTAGAAATATCCATAACCTTTTAGATTATTACTCTCTGAGAATTAGATAAAAACTGTAGACTGCTAATATTATGCACATATGCAGTTCTTACAAATATTTCCATATAATTTTAGAGACGTCATCTGTCTCTGATAGCCATCCAAGGACTCAGGTAAGACCATGCATTTCCAAACTAATGGAAGAGAAGTAATCATATGGAAAGTGTCTAGTCTGTTTCTAGGCAGCGTGGACCTTTTTGATGTTTCTGCCTTTGTGAACTAAACTCTCTGTTTCTTTCTTTTTAGTATTCCTTCTTCCGCTTCATAAAATCCTTCAAATTTATTTTAAAGCCTTTGATATCATTTAACCTTACTTCAAAGACAGCATCCCCAGATGCCAACTAGTCCTTTTTACTCCAAAATCCCATAGGATTGTCCCTTGTCCTATAGTAGCTTTAACCTTAAGTCCTTACTTTGTAGAGTTCTAATAACATCTGTTTCAGGCCTTCTTCCTGGGAATCTCAGCCTTAGTCCTTGTGTGTGGCTTATAGACCATGAATTTGTGAAAATTCTTGTCAGAGTGCCATTTTTGTCAACTGTCAATTTTTCCTAGAATATTCTAACTCTTCTCCTACACAAGTATTTATCTTTCTTAACATTTGGTATTCTTTTAATAGTTATAGTCAGAAGTAAAAAAGAAAAAATAGACTGCTTAGAAAGAACTGTGTGTGTGTGTGTGTGTGTGTGTGTGTGTTCCAATACAGATTAGTCTGATTCTAAGTCCTTAAATTAAAATCAGAAAAGGCATTATTATGTCATTGTTCCAATTTAGCATATAATGGATGTGCTGTAGTATTATTTTTAAGAAGCTGCATCTCGAGAAGTGTTTAAACATCCTGTGCAACTTGCTGTCTTACTTCAAGCCCCAGTGGCAATTCCCAAACATACCTTTTGTTCTGCGGTCATGGTTAAACTCTGCAGTCGGCCGGTCATATTCCCTAAACTCTTTTCAAAAGCGGCTACGAGGTGAGCCTATGAAGAAGATGGAAAGTACACATTTTACACGTCAGAACCATATAAGGGTAGATGAAAATGCTTCACTTTACACAATACTTAATTTCACATATTCTAACTCTCTAAATACTACGACCATCAAAGTTAGCTTTCAACGGTGACTATTAACACAGATCTTCATTTTTCATTTCTAAACTTCAGCTGAAAATCAGTGTTTCAGTCTCTTGACATTTAATGTGAGTTCCCCTTCCAAAAGGAGAAGGTATTTTGCAAACAAAAACACCTTCTAACTTGCACATCCTGGAGGATCTGACACAGAAAATACCGACTTAAGTTCTGAGTTGCCAAGTTTTCAGACTTAAAGTGCAAGCAGAGGTCCCTGCAATATTCAATGGGTGAATGTTCCTCGTTTTTATACCTGCATGATGACCTTTGAAGATATTGTTAGCTCCCCTATTATAATGGCACTCTCCTTCAAGAGTTGGACATCTGCTGACAGCTCTAACATTATCTTCCCTTTTTTCACTTACAAAGACTTGAACCGAAAAGTGTTGTCTTCGCTTTCCCAACTCTTTTCAGTACAAGGGCTTTTATTTCTACTTTATTCCCTTCAACTAAAAAAGTGTAGGTAGGCCAGATAGAAATAATAATCAGTCATAGTTTATTGAACTTAAGTTTTGGTGGCTTTGGGGCTTTATTTTAAATCTCAGAGAATTATACATCTTACAGTACATCACCACAAGTCTCATGATTAAGTATTGGACAACCTTATTAGAGTTCTAACCCAGTTTTTATTAACATGCCATTTTGCAAAAGCTTGACCCACAAAATATTAAGCTTGAAAAGTTGCTGCAATCTTATGCTGTAGCTTGAGGTAGAACTACAGGTATGTTATCTCAAACTGGTCAATTTTATTGTACCCTTAAAAGGATATATAGATAGAATGCTTTACCACCTACAACTATAGTAAAATATGTGTGGGAAAAGATCTGACAATCCTTGGCCAAAGATTAATTTTTTGAGGGAACGGAATGTGAAGACTCAATTAAAATACATCACCTTGTAAGTCTAGCAGAGCTGAAAGGCTGAGGTACCTATTATCAAATGGATCATAGGAGTCCTAAGAATTAGGGCAGTAGAAGTTTATTCCAGTATTAGTAACAGCTAGAAGTTTATTCCATTACTGCTAACAGCTAGAATGTACAAGTCCATTACATTAGCATCATGATACAAAGGTGTCTTTGTTCCTAGCTCTACATTTATCCTGGGTTGCTTTCTTTTCCTGACACTGTAATACAGAGAAAGATAATTTGTAGAGAATATGCCTGTTAATTTTCAGTCCATTAGTACAACTCTTTATTCTTTTTTGACTGACTCCCTTCTCCCTCTTTCCCCCTTCCCCTTCTCTCTCTCTCTCTCTCTCTCTCTCTCTCTCTCTCTCTCTCTCTCTCTC